AAGTTTCAGGGCCTGATGACCATCATCCCTGACGAGATGGCTAGTATCTAGAAAGCTGTACGGGCTTTATCACCTCACTTGCAAGTGGTTTCAAAACTTTCAAAAGTCAGAACTTTCAGGATAATGAAACCGTTTTGGAACCATCCAAATGATTAATTTGGATTTAGACTTTTTTTTTTAAAGAACGAGTCTTTTCCTGGGTTTATACATTAAACCCCCCCCAAAAAAAACGCCACCCAAGAATCGAACGGAAATAATATACATTTCTTTCAAAATGTCTATTTTGTGGCTGTTGATGCAGGTGTAAAACAACTTTTTTTTTTAAAAGGCCTTTTTTTTTTTTCCTGATAGGGTTGGCCAGACTCCAAAACCTGTGCCATTCATCTAAAGCTATAACGGCCCGGGACACACAGCTGTGAGCGTGAAAACAGCTTTCGCCCCTGGGGTTTTTGTTTCTGTTCAATCCCTTGCTTTTTCAGCCAGCATAATGAAAGTGCTGTGCTAAGCAGGGTCAAGTAGGATATGCCAGTGAAAAACGTGAAAGTGAGACTATGGGCAGTGATTAGGCCCTCTAATGTGTGATGAATCCTTTTCGATCACATGATATGAACTAATGTCGCCATTTAATTATAAAACAACAAAGTGTCCAGCTGCGGGAGCAGAGGAATGGATGACACCTGCACTTTTTTTTGGTGGTGGTGGTGGGGGGAGTGTTGGTCTTTCAATGCATGCATTGTGGCTGGGGACCGAAAAAAAGAGAAGAATAAAAGAAACAAAATTACTGGTATTTTACGGATTTTTTCGTTCTTCTGTTACGAGATGGATTCATAAACCTTTACACATTTCGCTGCGCACTTCCTGCGTCTGAAACAGCCTCCTGTCCCAGAGTTTTTAGAAATCCGCGTCGCTCCTCAAAGCCGATACGACAGTTCTGACAAGACCGGTGGTCACGCCTCCTTATCACAGTGCTCTTTGACTTTGGGAACCTGGTTTGAAAAACCCCTCTTGCCGGAGAGGTGTTGGGGGAGGATTAAACTGAATTCAGGACGACCTATCCCGGAGAGGGACGTCCCAGGCGGAAGACGGGGAGACAGTGGGTGTCGCTTGCCTGCTTTCACGGCCGCACATCCAGTCCTTTTGCAAATCTACTTTTAAAATGCCGCCTATTTTCCCAGATTCCAACATACGTCTTTAAAGAAAACAAATCCTCAAGGAATATACTGCAGGATAAAACGCGCTGAGAATATCTGTATCACGATCTGTGTAGGATACACAGTTTGTCCCTTTTTTCTTCAAATTGCACTGGTCTTTTAAGATTCACTACCTTCCTGGCACGCTTGTCTCCTTTTAATGACGTACTGATCCACGTTCTGCCATTTTAATTAATGGCTACAGATATTCCTATTAAGAGATACACTATATAATCATAGAGTAATAATAGTGCAGATGAGTTTTTAATGTTCCATTGCTCCAGGGTATTAAAACACCCTCACTTTAAAATAAGAGGACAGTGTATTTCCAAGGCCTCTGTTGAAAAGCAGGTAGCTGTATCACACACACACACCTGTGCTTCAAATTAAACCTGGGACTGTGGTCACTGTCATTAAAACTGCTGATTGACAGCTGTGCTTCAGAAACGTTTGATAGCGAGCATAAAGAAATGTGAACTGTGTAAGCTGCTCAGGTCCTTTCCCGTTCTGCTCTCACTGTCATTTGGTCATCTTAGTTCCTGATGTTCCCCTGGATCCAAGGACACTACTCCACTGCCCAGAGATGTTAGGCCCTGGACTCACCATTGAGATCCTCGAAACTATCGAAAGACCACGATGGGGAGCACCAGTGATTCCCACCAGCCCTTCCAGTTTGGGGAACAGCGCTGGCCAAGTGCCACACAAAACTATTACTACAGGAGGGCTCATAAATCTTAACATGGAGTTTCCAACCCGGAGTTTATCCCAGAAGTATAAGCCTGGTCCATACCTGGATGGGAGACTCCTGGGAAAGCTAAGATTGTTGCTGGAAGAGGTGTTAGTAGGGCCAGCAGGGGGCGCTCGCCCTGCACTCTGTGTGGGTCCTAATGCCCAGTATGGTGATGGGGAGACTATACTGTAAAAAGGCACCGTCCTTTGGATGAGATGCAAAACCGAGGTCCTGATTCTCTGTGGTCATTAAAAATCCCAGGGCGTTTCTCGAAAAGAGTAGGGGTGTTACCCCGGTGTCCTGGCCAAATTTCCCATTGGCCCTTACCAATCATGGCCTCCTAATAATCCCCCTCTCTGAACTGGCTTCATCACTCTGCTCTCCCCCCAACTGAGAGCTGGTGTGTGGGGAGCGTTCTGGTGCACTTTGACTGCATCACATCATCCAGGTGGGGCTGCACACTGGGGGTGGTGGAGGGGATCCCCATTACCTGTAAAGCACTGTGAGTGGAGTGTCCGGAAAAGCGCTATATAAGTGTGAGGAGTTATTATTATGAGTGAAGAAGAGCAATGCAAAACAACCCTGTGGCCAGGGCCAAATAACTACCTCTCTGTGCTAATGTAGTGACCTACGAGAGCCAGCCTCAAAGACTGAATCAAATTCGGAACCGGGCACCAGTTCAAGTTTCTTAGAGAAAGGAAAACATCCATGAGATAGGACCGTCTAGCTATTTTTTTTTAAGTTTAAGACAATTCGATATCAGACAAACAACGCAACTGTTATTTCGAAGCCTTGAAGGCGATTGTCGCTGCAGACCAAACTTTCTCAGAGGCTGCAGACAGCTGATCCAGTAGTGTGTAATGAGGTAAGGCTGCTCACTCTGCGATACCACAATACCACAACACCACAGTCGCATACAAATAAGGGCCTTATAACTACATGCAGCGCTAGTACTGCCACAACGAGCTAATGCTGGCTGCTGATAAAACTTTTATTTGCA